CCCCAAAACCCCAAAACCCCAAAACCCCAAAACCCCAAAACCCCGAAAGAATAGAATTAGGTTGAAAGAAGTTTTAACAATAAATACGATAATTAAAAACTGAATAAATATAGTAACTTCCAACTTTAAGCATTAAAATAAACAAACTTTAATAAAAATCTAATTTCGATTTAATATGGTGACGGTGACCAGATATAAAAGACATGGCTCTTTGATCGCAGCTGTCAAAAGAGATGACTCGCCAATTGACAAAAAGAATCCAAGGACTCAGTTCTCAGACCAAATTCTCAAGAGAGTCATAGGATCTGAAAGGGCTAACCAAGTCTTAACTTCTTTCTCCTAGGGACTTTTACCTATTTCAGCTTATCAATCTACCTTCAACATTAATCGTAATTACATTTTAAATCTAATTTCACAATATGTAGAGCTTTACAAGGTAAAAAGTAGTAATGATGAGTTTGGTGAGATGCTAGTATCATAACTAATGACAGTATAGAAGTAGTAAACAAGGAAATTTAAAGATGGGAAAACTGTAGCCAAATAAGAATAGAAGGCAGGCATCTAAATGTTTTTAGATGACGGAACAAGTATGTATATTAGCATGTGAGGAATTAAATTATGTTTAGGTTCAGAGGATGAGGATGAGTTTGATAGTGGCTCTGATGACGCTATTTTCTCGTAACTAGATAAAACTATCATGAATCAAAATAAGGAATAGCTTATTGACTTGGAACTGGTAAACTTGCTGAAGTATTGCTAAGATTTATATGAGAAGCACAAAAAAGATAATGAAAATTATTAAGAGGAAATTATGATAAAATCTGTTGAGCTTGGCAAAAAAGTGAAGGACAAGTTGCTTATCCTAGACATGGACGAGACTATGGTTAGTGCTAGATTTAAGTCAAAACTGCCAGATAAATTTCAAACAAACTTTACTTTTGACTTCCAAGGCTAAGAAATTCATGTGCGTGTCCGACCATATTTAATGGACTGCCTTGAAAGATTATCTAAATTGTATGAAATTGTAGTCTTTACTGCTGGAGTTCAAGAATACGCAGACAGGATTTTAGATTAGATAGACCCTGATAAATTTCTGATTAAAAAGAGACTCTATCGTCAAGATTGTATAGATGTAGGAGGAGAATTTTTGATTAAAGACTTAGACATTTTCATAGATAGAGAGAAGGAAAATATGATTATTGTGGATAATTCTATACTTTCATTCGGCTTTGACTTAGACAATGGTGTACCAATACAGTCATTTATGGGCACTGAGGACGAAGACAAGGAATTATTGTATTTAATCCCATTCCTTGAAGATGTCTTCTGCCTGAGTGATGTTAGAGAACAGATCCAAGATTCATTCAAACTCAGCTTCTTAAAAAACAACATACTTAACCATTGAAAAAGTTTGTAGATCAACTAAACTTGCTAAAATAAGTCTATTTCAACAAAATTTATTGCTCAATAATTTTGTAATTTTTTATTTATTTATGATATCATGTTGGATTATAAACATTGCGGGGTTTTGGGGTTTTGGGGAGATCGGAAGA